AAAAAATCCTTACATATAGTTTTTTATAAGTGTGCTCAACTATGTTTGTGTTTATACTGATGTGTAACACCCCAATTATTAGTGATTTCTGTATGTTTTTGTTCAAGATTTCATCAATGCAAGGATTATCTAATCCAACAAAATAGTTTCCGATTCATTTGACTGAAATAATTTTTTACAAATTTTATTTAAACTTAAGTTTTTTAATTCATTGAATTTTCATTGTAGAATTTTTTTATATATTAATAAGTATTGCTCAAGACCAAATTTATCAGTTGTAATTAATAGATTAAACATATCAATTCCAACATAGTTTTTTAACTATGTTTTTTCCGTTTTACAACTACATAGGTAAACTCAATAAGTTGGCCATGAATTGCTGGGCATGATGGACTGGCTTATCGAATAAATATCCATGCTAGTTTGCTTTGAAGGAGCTGCTGTTTTCTATCAATCTCCATTTAATTTTAAACCTCTCAATCTCGAAACAAATATAACCGTTAACTGTTATTTTTATATCATAAATGAGATAACAAAATATAAATGTATTGTTATGATGATGCATACAAGAATGTTTTTAAATAAAATAAAACATTCACAAAGATAGTGTCACCAATTATATAAATCTGTGATTATGTGGATAATTGTTAACTTATTTATAAGTTAATTACTTCTTACAAGTTATCGAATTTGATCTGTTTATATACAATTGATTCAATCGTAAATACTTTTATCGCAATATTGTGTTTCCTACACTCTTCAACATATTATTGTGCGAACATGGTATTATATACTAGAGGCCTGCACGTGTCATCATAATTGAGTGATTACCCAACCCGAACCCGTATAAATTTATAATTTGCAACCAGGATCCGACTTGTACATAAAAATTATAAAAATCTCAATCCGAACCCAACTTGTACAACTCGTTTTTTTATTATACAACAATGTAACACAATTTTATTAAAAAAATGTTTACAAGAATACTATCAATTGTTTTTGTATTTAAATTTGAGCGAAGCTCATTAATTGTAAGTCCAGCCACACTAAACTCTCTTTTACTAGTTGCACTGTAATATGGGATTAAAAGATAATATGCAGCAAGCCTTGAAAGTCTTGGATAAACATGTTAATGGTCTTTCCGCCATTCTAAAATATTAAAGTTATCATCTTTTTGTATTTTTGTTGATAAATACACATCAACTCCATCTTCATCATTATCATCATAATATTTACTAAAATCATCTAACTCTACATTTGAAGTTGAAATTGTAGTTGATAATATTACTTGCATAGAATCATCATCATCATCATCATCATCATCATCGTTACTGTCAGCACCAGCACCATATATGTGTGTGTGTAATCTATGTTCATATATAATATATATATATATTTAATGAGCATTGATTCAAAAATATATATAATATATATATATTTTATATACATATTATATCATTAAAAATTTTTATTTGCAATTGCCAATTTAATTTCTAAATATGCCTAGCCTAACCTGTATTTTTTTTTAGAATTATTTAAATTCGGGTCATAATTGTTGTAAATCACAACCCGGACACAACTCGAAGTTTAATATTAAGGCCAAGTCCACCAACCCAAACTTGACTCTCGGGTTCGGGTGGATTGATTGGATGAATAATTAATATTAAATCATATGTTACTAAAAATAGTAAAGATAATCTCTCACATGAAACTGACTTATAGAGAAGAGTCTAAAATTTTGGTCGAGTTAGACCAAAGCTGACTTATCAAGTTTACCTGTCTGCGTATATAAAAATCTTTTATAAATAATTAATCAATAAATAAATAAACATTAAAATATTGATATTGGCTTTCATAATAATGTAATATCCATTTCTTTTGTCGCATCAGGCAAATATATACCTTTTAAAATATGAACAACAAACGAATTTTAGGACCAACTCTTTAACATTTAACAAATATTTTTACATCAAAGTTTTCTCATGAGCTTCAATAACATCAAACAATTTTTTTTGGTTTCTTGACAATTAATGGTTCACCATTCCATGATTTAATTACTTATTAGACTTGTATATTGGTGATGATATCATTCACACTATAAAAAACATAAAGGCGACTTTTGTTTAAAGGTAACTGGAACAACTGATTCGGATTACGCCTTGAATTAGTTGTAATTGGTAATGAATGAGTAAATTTTCTAATAATTCAATAGTTGCTAATATTCTAGAGATTTTATTTCTTGAAAAGTTTATATAAAGTGTCACCCACACCCGAATACTAATAGTTACTAAAATAAATTACAAAAATTACAAATTACAAATTATAAATTATAAATTACAGATTAAATTTAAAATTTTTCCAGAAAAAAATAGCATTTTATCTGATAATTAATGGTGATTTTTATCAAGTAAACCAATGCTACCTGCAGTAGTCTTAGTGGATGAATTATAATTTGATAATTGATGGGTTTGTTGCAAATGATGTTGAAATTATTGGCAAATTATTATTATTATTATTATAAAGATTTTATGGCAGTAGTAATATTATTAGTCGAGGGAGACAAGCTCATATATTCTACTAATAAAATCACTCAATAATAATATTGAACTTGATACTAATGTTAAAAATGGTATGAATTCTAATTCATTTCTTCCATGTTTATAAATAATCTAAACAATGTTTTAAAATAATGTTAATAGAAATTAATATTAATTCTTTCATACATAATATTTATATTTGCTTGCTACTTACTAAAATTACAAGTTGTGGTATATCTTCAATAAACATATTAATCAAACCACCAATAATGATTAATTTTAAAGCTTTTCGATTAAAATTAGCACTGAAAATTTCTTTATCTAAAAAATTTGAATTTAATATCCTCAAGGCCTCAATATTTAACATTGATAAAATTGTCATTGCAGAAGCAAAACCTGTATGACTACGTAACCAAGCTTTAAACTCTAGATTGTTCTTTTTGCGACTTTGGTTAATAATTATTGTCAATGCCAGTAATAAATTGACTCCAGCTGGTAAAGCAAGTGCCACCAAACTAATATTTTATATATATAAATATTGTGAACATGTGGATGTGACTGTATGTGTATGTCAATAGGCATGTGAATAAATTTATTTATTTACCTTGGAATTAGTAAATATCTACCATCGGGTCTAAGTATATTATTTGTTAAAAATGCAAGATCTAATATTAAATCTACTATAATCAATGTTGTTGTAAATATAATTGTATTTCTTCCCTAATTATATCAAACAAATCAATTAGATTAATCAATCATCATCTAGATAATCAAATATGACTAAAAATTTGTGCACAAGCACACATGTACCTCCTTATGTTTCCCCCGAGCATAAAAATAAAAAATCACCAATATAAAAAACACCGCTCCAACAACTATTAATGTTATTTTATTTTCTAAAAGCAATGTTGCTAACCAAATATAATAAAGTAAAAAATTTATTATTAACATGGCTATTACAAATATTATTATTAGAGAATTCTTACATGTCTCATTTAGCATATCATTCATATAATTATTTGATGTATCTGAAGCTGTATCATTTTTTAATGGTTCTCGTTTATTGAAAATGTTACTTTTTTGAAGGTTCTTATCATCATTATTATATGATAAACATGTAGAAAATAATATTGAGAAATATGTAAATATTGAAATTATAAATTTTCTAGACAATGAATTATTTAATTTTATTAAATTGTTCATTTTTTATCAATTATTGTGATTTTTATATAAAATAAAGCAAAAAATAAAGAAAGTTTAACATAAAATTCAAGTGAATAAATATATTTATTTTAATATCTAATATAAACATTCAAATATTTTTGCTTTATTTCAATAAAGGAGGGTGAATAATTAATTGGCTTTGGGGAGGATTAATGGATGAAAGTGAGCATATTCTGGAAAATGATCCATAAAAAAAATAATATATATTGAAAAGATCGACCAAGGTTTTTTACTAAATTATTTTGCCATTTAGAATTTACCAAATTCGCGTTACATCAGTGCAGTGTTGTGCCCATTTATGGTTCCAATAAAAATTTCAATTGGAATTGAAACATTCTAAATGTGGTTCCAATAAAGTTAACCAATGAAATTCAATTACAGTGTCATACACACGGATTTTATTGGTTAATATCAATTGAAGATCTACATCGGAACGTTACATTGTTCCAATTGCACAGCACTGCATCAGTGCAGCATTGTAAATAGCAGTAATGAATGAATGGTAGTGGACGTCACACAAAAACAAAATTTTCTTGGCATTTGAAATAAAAGGAATTTTTTTTTTTACTAATATAATGATAATACCTTCTCTTTTAATAATTTGATTCGATCTATTTATTTATCTAAAATATTATCTACTTCATCTTGACCATCAATTCATTACTATTATTCATTGTCTAGTAGAAATTGTAGTTGTTTTGTTATATAATATATACTAGTTAATTTCTTAAATATAAATATAAATAAATATAAATATGTTAATATGTTTATATAAAAAATTAAATACAACATATTAACATATAAATGAAAACGTAAAATAAAATTTCATACATATAATAACAATGCTCTTAACCACTCATTATCATTAACATTACAGTAATATTCAGAGCAATATTTAATGCAGTAATTCTGACCTGCATAGATCATAAAAACCTTCAAGCTTACATTTCTAATATAACCTTTCAATCAATATGGATTGGGTTAAATGGATCAAGTTTTAGCGAAACGAAAGACAAGACAAAAAGGAGTGTAAAAAAAAATTTTCTTTTTTCCATTTTAAGTTAATTGAAATCTCATGTCTCACAAAAGATTGGCGTTCGTTTATGCTGTTTTTATTTTTATTGTTAATTCAAGATTCTGTTTTATTGATGAAACAGATAGAAGTATCTGAAACTATCTTTAACATTTTAGATTGGTCTTTATGATTCTGTCATAATCATCACATTTGCCAAACTCCAATAGGTATTAGTTTCTCGGAGTTGAAAGCTAACTAACAATAAATAATAATTATAATCTTTTGAACCAAAGCTCCGAACGAGAACCAAGAAATATTAGACTCGAATAACTCGAGTTTGAGGTTACGTAAATTTTTAAATTAAGAGTCTATTTTCTTGAACTCAGCTCTAATTTGAAAATTCAAGTTTTAACTCGAACCTCTCGACTTAAAGTTACTGTTCGAATAAGGTTTGTCCAAATTAAGATTGAGCCGTATTATTATTACGAATAGAAACTTTAGCTCAACTTAACAATAATAACTCTCTGAGTATGGGTGTACAGTCAAACCTCTTTGCGTTGCAACGAATTTTTAAAAACATAAAATTCGTTTAAACGTGTTTGGTATTTATTTAAATGCAATTTTCTTGTGCGTCCCATAGATTCGTTCGAACGAGGATGCATGTACTTTAGAACCTAAAAATATTGTTAAACATGGAATCTAGGGAATGGACAGACCAGTACTATACGTATAATGCGTATATTTCTAGATGTGAAAATCATTTACACCTTTGTCCCAATGCCACAATTCAAACTAAAAAAAATTATTTTTGGAGAACATTTTGATACTTCAAATACTAGTATACAGATAAGTGACAACGTAATTGGGAAATTAATGAAACGTATGAAAATTTTATGATATTTAATTTATTCAATATAAATAACAAGTAAAATTAGTCATGAACTGGTTTTTGATGCAAAGTAAGGATAATAAGTGGTGTTATTAGTTAATTAACGGTTGATTTAACTTGTTGTAAAAAACCA